CTATAAATATATACATACAAATAAAACTTAAATGGAAGCTGTGCCAGATAATGGTTTGGGATGGGATGCCTGTGATAGAAAAAGTGGTTACATCCAGAAGTGCCCAACCTGTGAATTTAGGAACACCAGGGCTAGTAAGATCCATCCCTGGACATCACCTGGGTGGGGCAGATTCCCAGGCTGATGCTTCCCATCATTGTTTGCAGCAGGGAAAGCCGTTGGTGTGGGCAGACACGAGCCAGTGCATCCCCATCTCCCATGGGGGTGTGTCCCACTCGGTCATGTGCTTAGGACCAAATTCCAGTGTTAATTATAATCCCATGCCTGGGAGTGCACAGCAAATTCCCACTGCTGCCAGCACGTGGTGAGATCCCAGCCCTGTAGAGTCAGGATCATGAGTTACTGTCTTGTTCAGAATTCCTCTGAGTGGGAAGATGCAGCCTGGCTGCAGCCATCTCCTGCTTCTCTGTCTCCTGACCTCCCCTGCAGTGAGGATAGAAACAGGGATTGCATTCCATAGGACATCCCAAAGGCAAAGCTTTGCACATCTCCACCTAGCTGAGTGTTTTCAGGTGGTATGTGCAAAGAATAGATCTAGGAACAACAGAGGGCCTTGAACGTGGACAGCCAGCTGCAGAGAGACTCCAAAACTCCTTCCAGGCTCAGGCATGATCCATGACCACCTTCATAGAATCATACGATGGTTTGGGTTGGAAGGGACATTGAAGATCACCTCATTCCACTCCCTGCCATGGGCAGGGACACCTTCCACTAGACCAGTTTGCTCCAAGCCCCATCCAGCCTGGTCTAGAAACACTTCCAGGGGTGGAGAAGCCACAGCTGCTCTAGGCAACCTGTGCCAGTGCCTCAGCACCCTCACAGCGAACAATTCCTTCCCAATATGTCATACATCCCTGCCCTCTGGCAGTGGGAAGTCATTCCCCCTTTCTGTATCACCTCAGGCCCTTGTCCCAAGTCCCTCTGCAGCCCTTTTAGACACTGGAAGGGGCTCTAAGGTCTCCCTGGAGCTTCTCTCCTCCAGTCTGAACCCCCCCAGCTCTCCCAGCCTGTCTTTTCCCAATCCAAACTGTATTTCAGAGCCCTCCAACCTTTTTGCAGCCTTTCACCACTGCAGTGTGATGGCTCTGTGCCCAGGTGAATGCTTTTCCAGGTTTTTCTCCCCTCCTGGTTTTCTCAGCACTGGTGAGGGACTCCTGGCCCTGCTTCAGCTCCTTCGTGGTTTCAGTGGTACAACAGGACTGGACTCTGCTTTCCCAGAGAGCTCTTTCCTGCTTCAAAGTGCTTGCAGCAGCCAGAAGCAATCCCAAAGTTTCCCACTGCCTGAGTGGGAATTGACCCTAAAATTTCCTTTTCCATTGCTCCCCATATTCCCGTGGCTTAAAACACAAGTCTGCTCAGATGCTCTTCGTTTTAAATGGCTTACAAATTATTCAGGCTGGTCCTGGGCAGGGAAATGGGAGAGATTTGCTGTGAAAAGGAAACACTTTGGCCAAGATCTCCTTAAAAATTGGGTGCCTTAAATATAGGCTCCAAGAATTCCAGCCTGATGTGTAAATAAGTGGCTTAACTCTTGGATTGCTCCTATGGAAGTGGAGGATCTGGTCTGTTACCTACATTTCTCAGTAGGGGTTTACATGCTGATTTATATTTATATGTATTTATATTTACTTATATTGTTTATATTGATTGTGCTTATTTATATATAAGTTTATATAATGTATATTATCTGTATTTATATTCTTTATGTTCATATTTAATGGGTGGAAATGGACCCAGGCTCTGTCACAGTGTCTGTTACTGGTTATATTTACATTTGAATGCCTGTGCCTGGGAAATTCCATGTTTTATCCAAATGTTCTTACCTTTCCAGCCAAGGACAGTGCTTGTTTCCAACAGGCTTGCAGGGAAAATGTTCTCAACTTGATTTTTAACCATTGCAAAGCAGGAAAACAGCCAAGGGAGATATTGCACATTGCTGGATGTTGTCACTAATGGAAGGATATTCCTTTCCACCCCCTTTTTTTCCCTGTTTTTCCACCCTGCTGTTATAAAAGTGGTCCATTCTCTCCCCAGACATCAGGCATCCAGAAGAACTCTCCCTTCTGAGGAAACCTAGAGATCCATCCAAGAAAAAAAAGAAGAAGTTGGATGATCAGTGCGACGACGATGCCTTCGAGCTGGAGGGCCCTCTGATCACACCGGGGTCTGGTGAGCCAGGACACACAGGGAGAAGAACAGGGGAGGGGGAGATGCCACAGCAATATCTGTTTGATTTAATTCCTTGAGGCCTGTGCCAGAAACAGACCCCAAATAAATGGCACAAGCCATGCAGGGCTGCAGCACTGGGTCGCACGGGTGCATGCCTGAAGCTGTCACGCGTTTGGGAGCAGAACACACCAGGCTTCAAGAGATAAACCCAAGTGTGACCACTTTACCACTCAGGTCATGTTGCTGAGAGGTTCTCTTGCCCTGTTAAGAAAGGAGTTGAATGGAAAATGGTTCCTCATGTTCAATTCCAGGTGTGTTTTAGGCAGCACCATCATGCTCTGTATTTATAGCCCAGGATGACCTGTGTTTTATTGATTGCATTAGTGTTGCCTGATGTTGAGGGAGTGGCTATGCATTGTAAGGCTGAAAGAAACCCCTCATATTGCTGTGGGGAATAGTTTGCCAGTTGAATTCCAGATCCAGCAGCATTGGGAAGAGAATTGCTGATGGAGTAATGTCACTGATGGAGTAACATCCCTGATGGAGTAACATCTTACCCCAGGCAGCAAATTGATGCAGGTGTTTGCTGGCAGAGAGGTTTTGCAGCTCTACTCCATGCCTGTTGGAGCCCTGCTGTTTGAAAGAAAATAGCAGGAGTTCAAACCATAATTTCAGCCAAGTGGGAGCACTTTATCCCTAATGGATTTGTGGAGAAAGCCACGGAGATGTGCATTGTCAGGCAGATGAGATGTGTCTGGCTGCCAAAGTTCTTGAGTTTAAATGCAGCAACTAGACGGTAACAGGGCAGCTTTAATTAAAAAAAATACCTTGGAATTCAGTAAATTTGTATTAATTGGTGGCAAATTAACTGAAGGGGAGGTCATGCAGTGTGGTTAATGCCAGTGGTGGCGCTGGGCTTGCAGGCAGAAAGGTTGTGTCTGTGCACAGGTTTCACAGCAAACCATCAGCACAGGTCGTAGCAAGGGGAAAATAATCCTTTTTTTCCTCTGATCCTGCTCTTTCTCCTCTCAGTTACTTAAAAATACTTCTGGGCTAGTCTTCTCCCACTCCTGGCTCAGGGAATTTTCCCTGCATTGGGCAAGGCTCCAGTTAATTTTCATTTCCATTTGGCATTTTCATCTTGAAAATCCGTCATAAACCTTTCCAAAAGTCAGTGTTCACGGAGAGCATCTCTGTTAGACTAATGAGAAATCCTTGGCATGCTTTGGGGGAAATGTAGGCAAAAGACAGGGCTTGATTTTAATTATTTATTGCTCTTTCAGAGTCACTTTGCTGGTTTTGCTCTCCCTGTGAATGAAATCACTAGCAGCAAGTTGAGTTCTGCATGTTCAGGTGCCATTAGATAAAAGTCATGTTTTTAATCTGAATAAACTGTTTCTAGTGCTGTTCCAACACCAGTTTGTGTGCTGAATGCTTCTGGAAAGCAGGTTAATAATTCAGGATGTGCTGATTTCAGTGTGTGGAGATGTACTGGGAGTGTTTTGTTGCTGAATCTGGCAGTGACACCATGTAAATCCTGGTAGGAAGAGCTGTCAATATACCCACAGGCTGTGTTGCCCAACACTTTCCATTAGAAGACCTGTGTTCACTCGTTTCTAGAAATTAGCCAAAGTTCTGGGCTATTTCAGCTGGAATTTTCCATGCCATTGCCTGCCTCGGGCTCATTTTTTAAGGGACGCTTCTTCTGAGATGTTTCAGGTGTTTGGAGAAAGTGATGAGAGGAACAGTGGAGGGGAAGCTTTGCTCTGCTGGAGCAGACACTCAGTCAGAGGAATCTGGGGGGATATCCATGGAAAAACCTGCCCAATTTGGTGCAAAAAGTGGGATTTTCTTTTGTTGTCCCAGTTGATGCTCAGCCTGTGCTTGAGCCATGTGAAGGCTGAGGCTGACACACTGTGAGGGTGGATGGGGACAAGGCAAAAGCATCTTTTGGGATGAGGTTTATGGATGGTGATGGTGGTTTATTGCTGGTTCTCGTTGGACTGCTCTGCCCCAGTGTTGTAACAGTCCATGGGGAAAGCACATTTCTGCTGCTTTTATAATCATAGAATCATAGGATATCTCAAGTTGGAAGGGACCATAAGGATCATGGAATCCAACTCCCAAAGTGTAAGTACCTGGTCTGAGTACCTGGCAAGTCACCTGGCCTTCTCCTTGAAGCTTGGAGGTGGATATCTCCATCCTTTGACCATTTCTGCTGCTTTTGTGCTCATGCCTGGTTCACTGGATCTGTCTTGACGGCAGGTGCCCATGGTGCATACTGGTCCCTCAGATCATTTATCCAGACTGGAATGCCAACAAAACTAGCAGGAGCATTAAAAGCATCCAGGTAGCTTTCTTGTTTGATGGTTTTCCGTCCTGTCAGGCAGTTTAGAATCATGTTTCTATGTTATTTGGAGTTTCCTAGCCATGGTGTTAGCTGTCCTTGGCACGATGCTGTGTATTCACACTGTTCTTCTGGTCTCCCATCACAAAATATGAGGGTTTGGAAAGGTTTTTCCATTGGTTTGGTCTTGGATTTTTCCAGTCTAGCTTAGTTTTGTGCCATTCCTTGAGTACTGAGTGAAGGGGGATGGTTTGGAGTGAGGAGCTGGAGTGTGGCCTGAGGTGGTGGTTTGGGCCAGCAGCAGGAGGTGGCACAAAAGATCTTGTTTGTGGCATCTCAACCCTGACACCATCTTCAACACCCTCAGCAGAGCTCTGGGAGGGAGAGTTTGGGTGCTAGAATTGCATGTCTGAACAGGCCTGTGATTTAAAAAGAACACGGGCCATTCCCAAAATCCAATTTATTGCTGGACCTCCTAGGTACTGCTGGGCAGATTTATGCCCATCAGGTGGTGCTGAGTGAGCTCACTGCCTGATGTACATACACAGTGGAATTCCTGACATTGGGATATGGTTGTTGATCCTCCCTTGTTTTGAAACTCTGGAGTCTATATACATTTAAATATCAGTTTTCCTGTGAGATGAACAGGGGCTGGTTTATAGAATGGTTTGGGTTGGAAGGGACCTTCAGGACCATCTCGTTCCACTCCCTGCCATGGGAACACCTTCCACTAGCCCAGGTTGCTCCAATCCCCATCCAACCTGGCCTGGAACACTCCCAGGGATGGAGCAGCCACAACCTCTCTAGCTCTCAGCTGTTTGAGGTTTGAGATACCAACCTGGAAACTCCTTCTTTTCTCAAATTTGTAGTTTTAGAAGGTTTGGGGTTTTTTGTTGATTGCTTTGAGTCCATACTGTCAAGCTTCAAAAGGCCTGGGAGTAGTGCGTGCTTTGGGATCAGGTTTGCACCACATCACGCCACTGGCTCAGCATATTAATCCCAAACGTGTGTGGCTGTCTCAGCAAGCTTTTCCATGTGGGAAATGCCATGTTTCCATGCCAGGCTGTTCCTTGTAACATGGTTATAATAACCAGAAGTCACTTCAGTTGCTTTGCTGCCGAGTTGCCGAGTCCACCAGCGCCGCTGCAAGCACTCCATTTGGGTGGTTGAACCTCACCTGTGCTGTTCTGCTGTCTTCCAAAAATGCCCATTTTTGGCTTCTGTCCTTCCCTGCTCTCCAGGTGACTTTCTCTAGCCTTCTCACTTCCCTCCTTTCTTTCCCTCTGTAGGCACTGATATTCTTTACATCGGCCCCGTCAAAGGTGAGCTCCACCTCAGTAGGACTTTTGCCCTCTGGTCTCTGGTCTCTTTGGCTGCACCCTTAGTTTATTTTCCTGCTCCTCTAAAACCTTTGACTTCCAAAATCTTTAAGCAACAGGTAATACCGGTAAGTTGGGGGCCATCATGTCCCACAGAAACTCAGGGGGCAGGAGTTTCCCAGTGTGGGAGATCTGTCTTTTCCCATCATTTGGGCTGGAATGAGTTTTCAAGCACAGAATATTGAGAGTTGGAAGGGACCCGCAAGGATCATCGAGTCCAACTCTTGGCCCTGCACAGGACATCCCCAACAATCCCACCATGTGCCTGAGAGCATTGTCCAGGTGTTTCATGAGCTCTGTCAGGCTTGGTGCTGTGACCACTGCCCTGGGGAGCTGTTCCAGAGTCAGTTTTGCTCTTGGAGAAGAGCTGAGAGAGGACAGGGACAGGTTTTGATGGGAGAACAACCAGCACAGTATTTTCCCATTATGGAAGGATAATGATGGAGAAAAGGGAAGGTTCTTCCCCTGGCTCCAGGTTTGCCATGAGTCAGCTTGGTTGGGAGCAGGCAGGGCTTGGCCTTAAGCTAACTCCTGGCTTTTATTCCCCTTGCTGGTAGGAAATATCTATTCAAGCCCGGGACTGTATAGCAAGACGATGACGCCAACCTACGATGCCCATGACGGCAGCCCCTTGTCACCCACCTCGGCGTGGTTTGGGGACAGTGCCCTGTCCGAGGGCAACCCAGGGATCCTGGCTGTGAGTCAGCCCCTCACCTCCCCAGAGTCCCTAGCCAAGATGTACAAGCCTCAGACGCTGCTGGATAAGGCCAAAATCAACCAAGGGTGAGTCCAGGAGTCAAGGATTTGGGGTTTTGGGTGGTTTTGGATTGCATTCTTGAAAATGTCATGGCATTTCTGTGTGTGTTATCCCATGTTGGTGATTTGCAGGTGGTTGGATTCATCCCGATCCCTTATGGAGCAGGAGGTGAAAGAAAATGAGGCTTTGCTACTCCGGTTCAAGTACTACAGTTTTTTCGACCTGAATCCCAAGGTACAGAGCTAGTTTGTTTCATTTGTATCCTCACAGAATCAATCAGGTTGGAAAAGACCTCTGAAATCATCAAGTCCAACCTAAAACCTAGCACCACCGTGTCAACCAGACCATGGCACTAAGTGCCATGTCCAGTCTCTCCTACACCATATTTGCCTTGTTGTTTGCTCACATCCTGTGCCTTAAACTACCCTGAGAGGTTCTTTGCTTCCAGACAGCTCAGATCTATATTTGCTTTATAAGTCTGGAGATGAGGAATCAGAGAATCAATCAAGTTGGAAAAGACCTCTGAGATCATCAAGCCCAACCTGTGACCTAACACTACCAAGTCAATTAGAGCATGGCACTAAGAAAGCTCCACATTTATCTGTGTGGTCTGAGCACTTGTAGCTCAAATCAGACGTCAGGGTTGGAACTGTTGATTATGTGCTTTCCTATCCCTGGTGATTCCCAAACACCTCCCGAGTCATTCCTGCCCAAGTGGAAATGGAGG